GAGTGGACCAGTTGAAGCAAATTAGAAGCACCAGAAAAATAATAGAACAAAGCCCCACAATGGCAGCCATCCACAGTAAATTTTCAGCCCCATATGCTGCATATTTAGAGGTAGAGGTGTCAAAATCTATTGTTTTAATTTGAGAGACCTCATTGAGTACTTCTCCTACTGTTTGGTTTCCAAATTCCCGGGTCACAAATACTTTCAGCTTTAAATAATTTTGTTCAACATTGAGTAGCTGAGCCAGAACTGGATTCAACAGTGAGACATCTTGAGTTTTCTTTACAGCATATATCAGTAGTACTCTCTTGGGGTGTATACGTCTGCCATTGCTTCGTGCAGAGGCAATTTCTTGCAAGATACTTAGAAATGGTGTTATCCCAATTCCTCCAGCCACTAAAAGCAGACTGTCATAACTGCAATAGATTTTAGACAAAAGAAGAGCATACAAGTTGTCAACGTTGTCGGCATGATAAATACCTGGAAAAAGTGCTGGCATGCTGCTAATAGAAGAAATTCTAGCTAGCTGTTTGAAAAGTAAGTTTAGCTTGCCATGCAATGTCATGATTTTTATACCTTAGGAAGTCCGCTGATGCAGATCCATAAGGTCCTTCTACGGCAATTGGAAGACACTTTCTCTGATCAGCTTCCCTATCTGGCTTGGCTGAGACTAGATTATAAAGAGCATTTGTCCACCATCCCTCACTTTTGATTATAACTGACATGGTGTGATGGTCAACACTAGAACTTGAAGTTATGCTGAAGGAGTGCCACTGCAACTCAGAAATACGTGGTATCTTCACAAATATGATGCTTGCAGGGGTATAAGTCAATTCTGAGATGTAAGTAACGACGATCAACAAATATCATTCAAGTAATGGTGATAAATATCTGGAAAAGATGATAGTTGAATGTTTACTTGGATCTTTTGGCAGAGTTAACTCTATGGCTCTGCATGGGAATACTCGAGCAGAAAGGATGCAAGTTTTAGGTCTTGATTGTATGACTCGCAAAAATTTGTCGAGGACAAAAAGAAAAATGCCAGGGAAAACCATATAAAAATGGCGGTCTCCAGCATGAAACAAGAAGAATGTAAAGAAGATCACGTAAAGGTGGTGTGTATAGTAGAAGATCTCAAAATGTTTTCTTCTAATATGTGGAAGTGATGTGATCCAAATGGCTAATCCTGCAGCAAGAGCAATCTCCCCAGCAAGGTATATTCGACCTGTCGGTTGCCAATTCCACATCTGTTTCCTCAGCAGGGAAATGTAGGGTGAGGACTGAGAAGTTTTGTTTACATTGTAGGACATTATTCTTAAAAGATACAAGAGATCAAGTGTACCTCATCCTGAATGTGGTGTTTGATCCCCCATGTGAAAAAGGTGCCAGCACCATGTAGTGTGGCAAAAGTTATCATTGTAGTCCCCAGCCAGATATGGTATCTTACTGAAACTTCAAACTGAACGCCAAGTATCCTAAATATTGCCATCCCTCTTAAAATTGGAAGAAGAAGAAGAGCCAGGCAGGCTTCTGCCAACAAACCACAGCGGGTTGCCACCTTAAGCACTTTGTATTGCCACCTGAAACAGAGAAAAATCATTCATTTGATATTCTTCATTTCTAATTCATGGCAAAAAGAAATAAATGTTTGACTTTTTACCGTAGTTTTATCCCATATGAGCATGATACTTACATACTCAGTTTCAGTGACTTGGTTGGCATCATCTTCTTGAAATCATTAGAAATGTGAGCATAGAAGGTCCAGAACAGAAAGGTGACAAATAGGAATACGAGAAGGATCTCAGTTCCAGTTAAAATGCCAAGATAGCGATTAACAACAATGGGATTTGAAAGAGCACTGATCAACTTGCTCTCTGGTCTGTCATCCAAAGTTATGAGACATTAGCTGTAATCATTCAGAGGCAAGGTGTCAGTATTGCAGAAACAATTTCTTACCTCATTCGGTTGGTTCTTAGCTTCAGTTCCAAGTAAATGAACCCAACCATAGCCAAGGCGAGAAACGGAAATGTATAGACAGCAAAACTTAGGCCTGTAGAAGAGATAAAAAGTAGTTTATTTTCTTTGATACAAGTGTTCTGTTAAGTTAGAAAATTCAATTAGTTGGCTACAATCTATGAATACCAAGAGAAGGGATATCATAGCTGAAAATATGCTTTTTATTAAATCAAGGCTTGTTCTTACCATTATAGTTAAAAACCGTTTTCATTGCTTTTTCTTCGGCTTCTCGCCATTTTTTTTCCCACGTTCTTGTCGGCTGAAGAAGCCAAAGGGAAACCCAAACAGAAAACAGAATAGTGAGCAGCACTTTGAGGATAAGGAGAGAAGCTTTTGCCATTGTTGCTAATCCTGATCGAGAAAATGGTACCCAGAAATATTTATAAAGCGGAATCTGAAAGCAGAAAGAAACAGCCACTCGATGTAAAAATATTTTGCAGACCCACCATTTTGAAGTGGCCTAAATCGCTGTATATTACTTCTGCATGAAGTGAAATAAAGAGATTTTGTACAGTGTGCACCACAAAGTACCCCGACTTGCTCTTTTCACTTTTCATTTGATTTAACTTCTTTCAATACAAGTGGTTGGACCATGGTCATCCGGGGACTAATGACAATATAATACACATCTATTTCCAGAAGCATATCTTTACTAAATATGAAGCTTTCAGTTTCCCGTTCTGATTGCGCATAAATATTAGCTTTTGGGTATTAATCAGCATCTTGGAGTGGCCCTGCACTTGGCTAATGGATATATGGTCCAGTCCCCCAATAATTTCACCTTTTGCTGCCTTAGGGTCACAAATCATACTTAAGACATCAAGTAGCTCTTCCATGGAGCAATACAAAAACGAACAACTCACTGGATTATATTCTCATTTAATCAATGTCGACTCCTTCTATCATTTCAATCTTTTCTATCATCTTGATAGATTTTGAAGGTGCATTATCCAGCAAGTGCGCTTATTGATCAAGAGATAACTGGAGCCAAGCTTCAATAGTAGTCAAGGCAGTTTTTCCAAATTCAACCAAATGATCCGATTTGGCACTCCAGAATTTCTCGAAATTTTTTCAGTGAATGTTGGAGGATGCATATAAAAATCTAGAGGAAAACAAGTGCAGTTTATTGTTAAGAGGGTGTCACCATCGGTGGTCCATTCTCATGTCTCATTCAAACCTGCCAAAGTTTCTGAGTGGAACTGCTTCATTCAAAACCCTCATTATCAAGTAGATCACTACACCTATTTGCATGAAAATTATGCAGTCACACATCAACCACCACGTGTCTAAACATTCTGGAATAAAACACCTGTTTCAATCAAAGCTCAACAGTACAAGACTCCTCTTGTTCTTCCCATTAATCTTATTCCTTTTAATTTTCCCCTATGTATACACCCTTCTTTTTCGGTGTTAGCAGCACTGAATTTTGCACGACTCAGATTAGCTGTATGAACATTCTGGTGAGTTTAACATCCATTATATGGCTGCCATTCCCTCAACAAATAGGTATAATTCATACTTGGGCAACCAATGATCACTTTTAGTTTCTTGGACTGATCATGATGGAGGCCGGGTACTAATCCCAGATCGTATAGACATCATTAGCAAAGCCAGATGAACTCCTGCATGTAAATAGGCTATCTAAGTCTTTTAAGTAGATATCCCGTGCCCATAAGGGTGAAAGGAACAAATTTGACACCATTACAGAGTGGCATAAAGGTGCCCTTGAGGATGAGATGAAGAATATCCAAGATATTCATGGACAATCTCATTGGTGTATATCCCAGAAAGCATGTCAGATGGCAAACTCAGTATTCCCTCCTTTAGCCACAAAAACCAATTAATTATAAGAGCTTTGGAATCCAGTAGCAAGTTCACTTCAGAATTTGTCCACTGTACATACCAACATAAAGGACCAGTCAAGCAAAAAGTGTAAAAGCTTTCTCTGGCGACTTTGTGCAGTTGCTGAGTTCTCACAAAGCTATCGATTATTTGATTTGGAGATGGGCAAAAGCATGAGTGATGGACGAAGGGAATCCATAGATCATGTATTTGGACATGGTTGGCAATAAAATATAGGATATTAAAGAGAAAAGTGGTAGAGTAAAATATCTTGATAATAGTGCCTTGGGACAACACCTACTCCAAGTAGATCCTTCCATTGCCTCTTGGTGGAGATAATTGTGAATGTCTGGAACTAAAATGTTTAAAATATCTTGAATCAGACAGACAGAAAGTTTTATGCTTTGCAATGCTCTTTGGCAAGGATGTGGAGAAACTTTTCAGAATATCTGTTCCATCATACTTTATTCTTCTCTTTTTCCCGAGCCATTAACAATTCTTGGCAAGTTATGACGATGGATACTATCTCAAAATAATTAAAAGGGAATCTAGTGATCGTGGCATGTTTTGGAACTGTATATTAGTTCAATTAATGGAAAATGTGATCAGATGCAAAGTAAGGAAGTCACAGTCAAGAAAAGGAAATTGAAAATGAAGAAGATTTACTTTGCAAACGATTGACTATTATCAATTTCATAACTCCTGACACACTACTTTGTATTAAGGCCTAATTCTGAGACGTTACAAGAAAATAATAAATCAACTACTAAATATTACATGATTTCAATCAAAGACTTTAGGAACTATGGACAGGTATCAGCTTCATTTATCCAAGTTCATCTTAGGTTTTGTCAGATTGTCAACAGTTTTGGGTCTGAAGCACTAGTGGAATCAGAGATTGGGAGTAACCTTTAGATATTTCTAAAAGTTGGGGCAGCCAGCTCGAATTTTAATAAGAATGTAACTGAAAACTCTTTAACAGTTTAAGGGGATAAAAAGGGATGTGTCAAATCTTTTTTTTGTTGTTTTTTTTTTGGGGGGGGGAGGGGGGTTGGGGTTGGGGTTGGGGGGAGGAGGGTGATCCGCCGTGGTCTGAAGTAAATACAAGCTCAATTACGTGATCCCTTCCTGCAATTTAATGAGCTTTGGTCTAATGCTTGTGTTTAGCTTTCAGGTGCTGCTGTCTAATGTAAAGTCTACTGAGAGCCTTATTGTCAAGAGACTATCAGATATGAGTGGACATGCACTATGAGGTTCACATCCGATAAAAGTCCATCAAAAAGAGAGAAGATGAAAGGCAGGACGAAATTGAAGGAGAAAAAGAAAGCAAATTTCTTCTGAAAGACCAAAGGCAAAAGGTGTCATGAATACGACATAAATGCTGGCAAAATAGAATTTATCTTTCAACTTTCTTGACCAGCTTTGAAAGCAACGACTCTTTTAATTATACATTGCCAATTGTATGATCCACCTTTAATAATTCTATCTCTTCCCACTTTTGATGATCCCTCATTTTTTCACCATTCATTTTCTTTAGTAGCTATTAGAAGATAGATATGAAAACGGAGATGGAAGAAGAAAATCAAGTGGATCGAGAAGAACAACAGTATCATCATTGGCAAGTGAAATCCCCAGAAATTGTGGAGATTCCAGACGAAAGCAAGAGCATCCTGAGCAGCAGAAATGGACAAACAAATGATGTTTATGTTGCTGTTGGCAAAGATGACTTGCATGTGGTTCAATGGGTGCTTGATAATGCTGTTTCCCCAGGAACTAGACTCTTTCTTGTGCATGTCTTCCCTCCTATTACCTATATCAATACACCAGGTACTTTGAAAAGATTTTGCAAACTTTGCTATCTGTTGTATTTCAGCATTAACCTTGTATTAGAAGTTGTGGGCTAGTTATGTACATCAAACATATCATGATTAACAGCATGAATTATTTATATGCAGAACTCACATGATCATTACTTTCTGCCACTGTTTCTCTATATTCTGAACTTTCTTCTTGGGAGTTTAAAAAAGAAAAAGACAAACTGGAAGCTTGAACAAGGATCTCTTTCTTCTTGAGCAGGAGAATGACAGTTTCAGAAATTTACTCCTTTGTGGTCTCTACCATGTCTATGAACTCTTGATGGAGCAACTAAACTAAAAAAGTCCTGGAAGTTGATGTTATAACAAGAATAGGCATTTTTCTGAGACAAAAGTATGGTGTTACTTAATAATTGATCCAAGGCAAAAACTGATGACATAGGGCTCCACATCTTTAGCTAATTAGAAACTGTAAGTGGAAGCTATTATTTCCAGTGCCGAATTAACATTTCCATTTCATACTTGTCCCTTATCCTTGCGAGGTGTTTTTGTAGCATTAAGTATTTGAAATACATGTCGAGACGTCGAGTGCTGACAATTTTTATTAATTGGGGTTTTTCTTGATAGTTGGAAGGCTTTCAAGAAGCCAATTGAGCCAAGATCAGTTAAGAGTCTATCTGAATGAAGACCAAAACAGGAGGAAGTATCTTTTGGAGAAGTACATTCGCATGTGTAATGATGCCAAAGTGAGTAACAATCCATGTGCAGAAACTTGGTCATCATTGTACAAAGATTAGCTGCATCAGTAAATTGACTACTTCAAATGTCGGCTTATAGGTTCCGGTGGACACAATGCTCTTGGAGAGCAATGCAACTGCAAAAGCAATCCTAGGCCTAATTCCAGTCGTCAACATTACCAATCTAGTCATGGGGACTAAAAGGTCTCCTTTTACAAGGTAAAGCTTCCACCTGGATAACCTTTTATGCATACTGCTTTTGCTTCATTTCTAGTCGCCTAGTTGACGTACAATAGAAGCAGATCACAGGAAATGTTTCGAAGATCAAACTGATATCACCTCCCTTCTGGCCTTGAACACAAGGAAACTTGCATTAATCTTTTTCCGGTGCTAAACTCAACATGAGTAGCTGCACGTCATATAATCCTCTCCCTGCTGGTTTCAGGAATAATGAATGTTTGAGGCTATATGAGTTCTTTTCATGCATCAGGTCTATTTTTACTACAGTTTTATCCACATTAATCTTTCAATAAGTCAAGCAATTACTACCCAGTCAAAACTTGGGTTTCAAACACCTTTAGGTTCATAATTTTCAGCTCATATCCTTTGACATGTGCACTGCAAATAGGATCCCAAAAAAACAGGAAACTCATGCGTCTTTTGCTTCATTTTAGGCAGCTGATGAAAGGGCAAGGAAAAGGAGAATATGTTCAAAAGAATGCACCAGAATGCTGTGAGGTAACCATTGTTTACAATGGCAGAAGAATCATAAATGGCCAGCTGCATCCACCAGAGAGTATTCCTTCCAATCTGGTGTCAGGTGATCAAAGGCCAGAAACAACTCATAACTCTGAAAGGAACTTCTTCGACTGTATTTGCTTTTCAGGAAAGTTCGACTGAAAGTTGATCTCTATGGAGTTGTTTTCTTGCAGGGTATCAAGAAAATTAAGCCTTGATTATAGCAATGCTACGCTTTTAGACCGAGACTCTATAGAGGATGTGGAATTGCGATTTGTAGATAGAAATTATCTTGTTCCCTCAAATGATAAATTGATATGGTGAAAATGTTGAAGGTGTTCTCTTTTCACTAGTCATAAATCTTATTGAATGGTCTATAGAAATCTGTGCCATTTATTTTGCTCTAAAAACAGGATGTTACAAACCAGTAAGAAGTTCCATGGATATCCAAAAATTGGTGGTGAAGCATTAAAATTCTACTTTGCTAAGAGTCACAAGACAACTAAATTAGCTCAAATTGGATTTACAGGAGCATACCTCTATGGTAAATATGGAGTTTGTTATATACTTTTCATGCTTCTTCAAATAAAGGTATAAATAGACCAAATCAAGCCAAACATACTAATATTCAAATTTATTTGATTATTTTAATGAATTTAAACTTTTATTCAAATTCGACTTGTTTATATGTCAAATTGAATTTGAATAAGCTTTTTTTTTTATTATTGAATTTTAAAGTTAGCAAACATAAATACTATTCAAACTTGTTTTCACTGTTGACTGACGAATTAAAATCGAACGAACTCTTATCAAACTAAACTTAATTTGAGTATCGAGTAAATTAATTCATCATTTAACCCTATGTTTAAATTAAAGAGTAAGCTCCGTCATTTTTATCCTTCCATATAGATGAAAATTTTACTATGACCTTTTCAAATTTTCCCTTATTTTGTTGACTCTTTCAAATTTTCCCTCATTTTGCTTCCTCCATCCAAACTCACAGACATTAATTGTTGCCTGATGATTTCTGACCTGCATTGTCCAATAACTTTTGACCTATGACAAAGTCTAATTAATGAACCGGTAAGCCACGCGCTTTGTTTTTGACTAAAGATTAGGAGACTAGATGAAAATAGCGTATGATGCATTGCATTCTTTTTCTATCGGTAATCTAGCATTTTTTCAAATAATTAGTCAAGAGCCAAAAAGAAGAAAAAGAAAAACAATGAAGTAGGAAAACTATGCAAGATTGCCCCCTTCAAAGTTATGCCTATTCGAAACGTCTAAGTATGGCAAGTAGCATTAAATAATTATTTCGTGCAATTTTATTCATAATTGCACTTGCTTTCACGTTTGATTAGCATAATTACAATTCCAAATAATCAACTTACATGTTGGGAGATGGTTGGATTAGATGGCAACATGAGAGGAATTATCAATTATTGACGTCTTAGGCACTCTCATAAAAATAAAAAAAAAATACTCACGCCATAAAATTCCTAAAAATTGGTCCAAAACTAGCTCTAGTTGGATTAGCTGTTTTTTGGGGTATTTTTGAAAAATTTTACTGTAGCAGAGTTTTTAGAGTATGTTTTGAGATATTTTTAGAATATATTTTGAAATATTTAAGAGTAGTAGAGTTTTTAGGATATATTTTGGAATATTTTTAAATATTAAAAAAAATTAGACTACTTTTTAGAGTACTTTTTAAAAATGTTTATAGTATTTAAAAAACTAATTTTTAAAAAACTGAAGGATAGTATCTTGTCATATTTCATTACTTGTCATAAAATTGCTACAAAACTCCTAAGAGCAGCAACTTCTTATAAAATCGATACAGTATATTTTTTAACAAGAACTCTTAATAATATACAATCCCAACGATCTTTTGGATTTTGTTACTTGTCAGAAAATCACTACATTACATTTTATTTTATAACTTGTCATAACTCATAACTAATGTGTTGTTACATAAATAGAGTGTAACTTTATGCTCCTTAATGATTTTCCATAGATACTAGGATCAAATATGAAACTATGAATCCTTATTTATTTCCCATAAATTTCATATGTCCTACCACAAATTGCTGGTGGTATATTACGTGACACTCTTTCACTTCAGGGGAGTAAATCGCAATAATCAGTTAATTACACAACCTTTTCAATTTAAAAAAAAAAAGAAAAAAAAAAAGAAAACAGAAGCTATAAATGCAGAGAAGTCAATAACGGAAGATAAAATTTTTTTCTTTTACCTCCCATTCCCTCTTTCAAATACCTGCAAATCCAAACCCTAAATCCTGACCCTAACAATTCTCTGTCTCAGCAATTAAATCATGTTTAATCCTTACGATTCCAGATATACTGATGCTGGCTCTTATCGTAACCGTCGCAGGTAGTACTTCAAACCCTCTCCTCTCTTTTTTTTTTTTTGGGTGTTCATTTATGTAGTTCTATTAAGTTTTTTGTTCCTAGTATTAATCCACCTAAAATTTTGTGTGTATGGATTCATTTTTGCTTTATTTCTTGATGTGATGCTTCAGTGTTTTAATGGGTTTTTGTTTGTTTTACGAATTTTAGTGATATTATGGGGGCAGCGCCTCCAATTGTTCCACCGCCTATGATGGGTAGTGGAGGTTTAGGCCCGAGTTATGACCGTGGTGGGCCTCCTCCTCGGTATGGTGGGCCTATGGGGGCACCGCCACCTGTGGTGGATGGTGGTAGAGGGGTCGGCAGTGGTGGTGGCTATGGTGGTTTAGGAGATAGAAGGGGTGATTTTAGAGCTAGGGGGTTTGATTCGGGACGTAGTGGAGGTAGGAGTGGTGGCAGTGGAAGGGGTGGTTCCGATGCTGGGAGGGGTGGTGGAATGGGTTTTCGAGGTGGGCATGGGGGAGGAAGGGGTGGTTTTGATGGAGGACGGGGTGGTGGTAGTAGTGGAAGAGGTGGTAGACATGGTAGTAGGCCAAGAGATGACCTAGATAATCTTGCTCTTCCAAAGCAAGAATTTGGGAACTTGGTTCCTTTTGAGAAGAACTTTTATGTTGAGAGTCCTTCAGTGAGGGCAATGACCGAGCAAGAGGTTGCAGTTTATCGTGCCAGACGGGAGATGACTGTTGATGGCCATGATGTTCCAAAGCCAATAAGGATGTTTCATGAGGCAAACTTTCCTGGTATTTTAGTTAAATGATTGTTTCCTGGTACTTTAGTTAAATGATTGTTTGATGAATATAAGATTTCATGTCTGTATAATGTTGAGATTATTGGTTCTTGCTTTTTGCTTTGCCAGATTATTGCCTTGAGGTGATTGCTAGATTAGGTTTTGTTGAGCCCACACCTATTCAGTCTCAAGGTTGGCCCATGGCCTTGAAAGGTAGAGATCTTATAGGCATTGCTGAGACTGGTTCTGGGAAGACTTTGGCTTATATGTTGCCTGCTTTGGTACATGTCAGTGCGCAGCCGCGACTGGGTAAGTGACATTTTCTGATTTGTTCTGGTAACTCTTTACTTTCTTGGTCATTTCTTTTGCCTTTTTCCCCCCTTAAAGTCTTGCCATGGGAAAAAATGTAGCACAAGGAGACGGTCCCATTGTGCTAGTACTAGCACCTACAAGAGAATTGGCTGTTCAGATCCAAGAAGAAGCAATGAAATTTGGATCCCGTATAAGAAGTACTTGCATCTATGGTGGTGCCCCAAAAGGACCACAAATCCGTGATCTTAAAAGAGGTAATATTGTGTCTTTATTAATTTGTTAATGTCTGAAGAGTAAACAAATTTTTGATCCAATGTGCACTGATAAATTTATATGTATGTGTTACAGGAGTTGAAATTGTTATTGCCACTCCGGGTAGATTGATAGATATGCTGGAGGCTCAACATACAAATTTGAAAAGAGTAACTTACCTCGTACTAGATGAGGCTGATCGAATGCTTGATATGGGATTTGAGCCTCAAATTAGGAAAATTGTTTCACAGGTTTGGAAGCTGTGGGCTTCTCTTTTTTAAAATGTTACATCAATCAGTTGTTTTTAGGTTGATGTGTGCTGCATGGCTTTATTTTGACCTTTGCTCTTGTGTATATTTTAAGCAAGATTTTATCATGTATTTTAGGCCTTCTTCTGATATCACGGTTATGGTATAGTCCAAGGCTTTGCTGTTGGTCTTTTAGTGGGTAGAAAGTTTAATGGTTGTGTGGATTCAAATCGCTAGGTTTGGTTTGTAAAGTTGTATGGAAAGATCCAAGCCACTAAAAATATATTCAGGCTTTAATAATGTCATGGCTTATAATATTTGGATGAAAACCCAAATCTTGCATATGATGACCTGCTAACATTAATTAAAATTTGGTAATCAACTTTGAAATATTGTAGACACAGCTTCCTTGAGAAAATTAAGAGCTTAACAGGATATAGGGGTTGCAGTTATGCTGTGATGTTTCTTCGTTGGATATTAGCAATAACTTTGCATGTGGGTTATTTATGCGCAAATATTATATTTTGATTTAAAATTTGAATAATGTTCATTGTTTTCAGTTGGTTTCTAGAATTGTTGAAGTTGACTTGTTAAAATTTTGCAGATGTGTAGTGTTAGATAGAATTGCAATTGCAAATGTAACAATGTGACTTTTAAAATAAATGCTGATAGGACATTGTTTTCACAATTATGCACATCTTGTAAGGGTGAGCTTGGTGAAAAGCTAATCTAGATAGCTCAATCATTAAAGAGCAGTGCTAGATTTACAGATTTTCACTGCAAGACTTGCCTAAATAATTCATGTGGCAGAGAAAGAAATAGGTCATATTTTACACATGCTATCTATATAGTGCAAATCACGGGAGGCATTATATCGAATAATTAAGTTTTAACTGTGTGCTTAAGTTGTATTTGTCATTTGTTCAGAAGAGAAAGTCATTATCCATGGGTAAACAATGGTTCCTGCTGCCATGATGTTGCATGAAATCAGTGCGCATTAAACAAGATTCTATCAGCTGCTAAGGGTACCAGACTGAACGTGTTTGGAAGTTCTACAATTATTTTTCACAATTCAGTATTAGAGTTTTAGCAGCCTATGTTAGTCGGACTCCGGTATGGGTGTTGGATTTGGGTACGTGTCTAAGTGTCTAATTCGTCTACTATCTAAAACTAAGATGTGAAGACACTTCAAAAGACCCAGATACGGGTACGTGGAGTACAACAAAACATCTAGTAAATATATGAATTATAGTACAGCCAACATACAAGTCATAGTGCAACAAGGATTGGAGAATTCTAAGGTAACCAACAAGTCGTAGCTCAATAAGGATTTCAATAATGAGAATTCTAGTGCAACAAGTCTTCTACATCCATGAGTTTTCTCAC